ATTGTCAGTTTTACAGTTTTGATTGAAATTGAAATAAGTTCACAAAGCCATGTTGCCTATTTGCACACGTCTATGATGCCATGATAGGAGAACACACCACAACCTTACCTGCAGTACCGCTGTAAGGCCCTATGTGGAGCTTGTAGTTCTGTGATTCAGGTGAGATGGCAAACGTGTCGTAAGCGGCGTACCGCGTCTCTCCCTCCACATCCTCCATATCCACCCTGAGCTGGTAGACTTTCTGCACAGCCAGGCGGTACAAGTTGTCATTCCCCAGCCAGAACTCGCCGTTCAGGTTGGAAGGGAAGCCGGTCCTGTAGTCCGCCCAGGCCCGGTAGAAGTCCACGCTTCCGTCTTGGCGTCTCTGGAATAACTTTGAGAGTAACAAGAAAAACCGAGATTGAGACTAAATTCTCGACTTGCTTAATTCCCAATGTCAAGCCCTTCAACCTCTGAGACATTTAACATCTTCTCATTCTGTCTGTCAATCCCCCACCAACGTGCTGCCATCCTACACTAGTGGCACAGACACACAAACTCAAAGCTCATCCTCAAAAACAATATTTTATACACGAAGGTATACAAAGACAACATATATACCTTTAAAACCTTCTCAATGAAATAAAATAAAGAATTATACCCACAAATTCAGCTGTTTTTAGCATTGAGAAATTATAGTTTTCAGACCAGACTTACAGTCCAGCCGCCTCCGTCCGTGTCCATATCACAGAAGACGTTGAAGCCGCCCAGGTTGTCCCGTGGATAAACCATGTACACGCCGCTGGGCGTGGTCTCGTCGTTGTCAAGGATGTCCTGACAGTCTTGGGGCTTGTCGGAGTCTGTGTTGTTGGCAGAGGTACACGGTGTAGTGTAAAGTTATTGTAACGTACTGATACGTAACATAATGTACCTATGTAATAAGTGCGAACAGGAGACGTTAGATTAATTTGATAACTAGTTTGACTGCTAGCTATAATTGGCTATAATTGAGCACAGATAAACTTGTTTACACGTGTAGCCTCCAGTAGTTATGACAGAGTTTATTGAGAAAAAAATGTGACCTCTCCACTCCAAGGCGCATGGGCAAAATATTTGAAGATCTTGGTACCCAAGCGAAAAAAAAATGTAACCTGTAGGAATTATGTTATTTAATTTCTTAACAAAGATAACTTGCCTTCAGAACCACTCGTTCTTGTCTGGGAAAGTTGCTTCAGCTCTGCTCGAAGTGCGTCAACACTTGCGGAAAGTTTGCGCATGTCATCTTGATCGCGTTTCAAGGCGTCAACAGTTTTGGCCAGTTGGCGCAGGTCGCGTTTCACAGTTGTCGACAATTGAGAAATTTCCTACAAACGTATTTACGCACGTCAGAATACCGAACGTAAGAAGAAAAAAAAATAACAGAATGTGAACCAGAAAAACAGCTGAACAACAAGATTTGTGGTACTAGAATGTTACCTGTTTGTTGCTGAACGTCAGAGGGGCGAGTCCCACGGCGCACAGGCTAAGCAGCACGGCGATGCCGGCGGCCAGGAAGCTGCGGTGGGCGTAGAGGAAGCTACAGACACTCGGATACGCGCCGTCTGGTAGGAAAAACATACTTCGCTCAGGTTATTGTTTACGTTAAAATTTACTCACAGTGATGCTCATCAGTTTGAACAAATAAACGTATGAAATACCCATAATTTTGGAAGTTAATCTGTGTTGTTCATTATTATCGTATTGATTTTGCAAATCAGACCCTCATTTGCATTATTGGTGCCTGTTAATGTTCCACCTGCCATACATTACATATTATATATGTATTAAAGTTCCATTATGAAAAGCAAAGAAATTAAATTATTTTCTTATTACTAATGCACATTTAACCCTAAACAGTACACCTGGGGTCCGCGCGGACCCCAGTACTATATATTCTGTAATATCTTTTTTTGTTTCTAAAGATTTTTTTCTGAAATTTTAGGTAATTGTCACCCACAAAGTTGTCTCTCAATACAGTGCAGAAAACTCCGTTTCTACCATTTATAAAAAAAATTATATCTGATTTCTTTTGGG